CTCCCCAGTATTCAACACACCAACACACACACAAACACACAGACACACACATCATCATCATCATCATCATCATCATCATCATCAGGAAGAAGGAGGTTCGGGGGGAGAGGGGAGGGGTCGGGGGGGGGGCTTCACAAAGTAATGTTCTCTCTAATAAACTGAGTAAGAAACAAAAAACACAAACTCAATTACACAACTCACAGCTTCAATCTCTGTTATACACACACACACACACACACACAATTTACACACGAACGCCGAGACAACGACGACGACAACAACAACAACACCCACCTACGCAACAAAACGATTTGAGAGGAAGACGAGGAGCCAGAACAGTCGGTTTGAAGAACGCAAAAGTTCAAGATGGAAAGAAGGAAGAAGAGGAAGAGGAGGAGGAAGAGGAGAGAGAGAGGCACAAAAAAACACAAACACACAAACACAAACACACACCCACCTCGAACCGACTGCTCCAGGAACTCGGCGATGGTGTCGGTGTTGTTGGAGTTGATGGATCGGGCGAACACAAACTCTCCCTCCACCTCAGAGAAGCTGTCCTTCAGGAGGGACCGACGCCGAGACAGCGGCTGCCGCACCAGGGACTACACACACACACACACACACACACACACACATATAAACAAACAAACAAACAAACAAACACAGAGAGAGGGAAACACATGTATCATTACAAACGGTGAAGAATTTATCATTACATCCATTTCCTGGTCGTAGCTCGGAGCTTTACAATGACAAGGATGAAATGCCACCACGTCTGGTTTCACACACACACACACACCGATACACACACACTAAACCACCCACACAACCAACCAACAACATCAGGAATCTCTAGTCTGCAGAGTTGGAGTCGACGACAGAGAGAAAGTTAGCATCTCTGCTCATGTTTACAGGAAACACCGCAAAGTTTGGAGGAAATGATCCTGACGTCAGCGCCGCAGACGGACGTTTACTGAGGAGCCACGGACGACCGGGACAGACCAGCAGGTCCGTCCAACAAACGATGAGATCAAGGTTGACAAAGTTCAACCGTGGGTCACGTGACGTCACAAACAGTGTGAATAATGTTCACGTCCTCAGACGACACCACGCTGTGAGAACGACTCTGACACATTTTCCAGTTGGAGAGAGGGAATTACAGCAGCCATGTCTGATTGGGCGGTCGCCTACAGACCATTACATGGACCACGAACCACTACGTGGACCACAAACCATTACAGGGACCACGAACCACTACGTGGACCACAAACCATTACAGGGACCACGAACCACTACAGGGACCACGGGCCGCTACATGAACAGCCGAGATTTAACAGTTCAAAGTAGAAACTGTGGCGAGTGCTCGTCAAATACACAGATTATCGTCCTCGACGCTGACAAAAGTAAAAAAAACAAAAAAAACCCTGACAATTAAAATCAGGTCCAGATTGATGTCCAGACGCAGGTCCGTCCAACAAATGATGAGATCAAGGTGTCGAAGTTCAACCGTTGGTCACGTGACGTCACAAACACAGTGTGAATAATGTTCACGTCCTCAGACGACACCACGCTGTGAGAACGACTCTGACACATTTTCCAGTTGGAGAGAGGGAATTACAGCGGCCATGTCTGATTGGGCGGCCACTCTGAGGTCACCTGCGGACCACTACTTGGACCACAAACCACTACGTGGACCACGGGCCGCGACAAATACGCAGATTATCGTCCTCGACGCTGACAAAAGTAAAAAAAACAAAAAAAACCCTGACAATTAAAATCAGGTCCAGATTGATGTTATCAAGATTTACATACAAAGAAACCAACCGTGGGTCACGTGACGTCACAAACACAGTGTGAATAATGTTCACGTACGCAGACGACACCACGCTGTGAGAACGACTCTGACACATTTTCCAGTTGGAGAGAGGGAATTACAGCGGCCATGTCTGATTGGGCGGCCACTCTGAGGTGGCCTGCGGACGGCCACAGGGACCACACTACATGGACCACGGGCCGCGACATGAACAGCCCAGACTGAACTGTTCAAAGTAGAAACTGTGGCGAGTGCTCGTCAAATACGCAGATTATCGTCCTCGACGCTGACAAAAGTACAAAAACAAACCAAACCCTGACAATTAAAATCCGCCGTCAATAACATTTTATCGTCAACCCATTGATTACGACTTAACTCTTCTTTTCAGCTGCAGACGCGGAACACAATAGAGAGTGTTTTCCTCTGCGGAGAAGAAGAAGAAGAAGAAGAAGAGGAGGAAGAGGAGGAAGAGGAGTGTGACACGGTGACATGTGACGACTTAAAACCAGTGTTTCTGCAGAAGAAACACTGATAAAAGGACTGCATTAGCACATAACTGCACAGAGGGAGCTGCTCTGCTCTTAATGACCACTCTGCCACAGCCAATTTCTATATCCGTCTAATACACACACACACACACACACACAGTGACACACTGAGTGCTCCTCTTCTTCTTCTTTATCTTTTTTTTTTTTTTCTCATCTTATTCTTCTCCAGGAAAGATTTTGGGAGTTCACTTTTTGGCCCGAGGACACTTCCACATGCAGACAGGACGAGCCAGAGATCGAACCACCGACCTTCTAATTAGTGGACAACCTGCGGGTGCACGTGTTCTGAAGCGTGTCATACAGGCTGGCTAATGGCCACGGTGCCTCGAAATAAAAAAAAATTTAAAAAATAATAAAAAAAACCTATCCAATTATTTTAATACATTTTTTCTTTCCATATCCTTAAAAAGAGCCAAAGAGACTCAGTTTGGAAAATATGGCCAAAAAAAAAAAAAAAAAAAAGTCACAGCTTGGTGTGTTCTTCAGGATCCATCACAGATTTTTTGGAAGGACCCAGAGAACCGGCAGTGACAAGAACTGCAGCTCATGGAACCGAACACTTGGCAGCAAAACGCCATTAGCATATGAGCTAAAAACAGCTAAGTGGAGCTAGCACCGCATCGATCTGGAAGAGTTTTTTTTTTTTTTTTTTTTTGGAAAGTTCATCTGAGTGAGTAGAGCGCAGTGACAAGGTAAATGAATGATTTATTTTTTTTGTAATTTTTTTTGTGTTTTTGTTTGAATATATTTCTGACTCTGTATTATATTTTCACCACTTTTCATTGTTGACTTTTGAATCATGCCAGAACGGCTGTTCTCAGTCTGGTCAGATTAGACGTGAGCTCTATCTTAATGTCAGGTCAACGTGAACAAAAAGGTCACATAAAGGTCAGTATTTCCTCAGTCGAAAATATGACATCGTTGGTCATGGTGTCATCCACGGGGATAAAAACAAAAAACAAAAAAAAAAACAAACATCTTCCATCCTGAAAGTCATGTCAAATAAACAATAAAAATTCTCATCCACTCAGACGTGACATCACTGTTATCGTTTGTAGGAAAAACGAGAATTTTCTTCAGTCGATTTCCAACTGACACGTCGTTTGGTTGTTCAACGTGTGCAACACAAACACAATCCCACACTTGGCTGCAATTACCACTGAACACCTGACACAAACACACACACACACACACACACACACACTCTGGGCTGGAATCACAATGAGTGCTACAGTCATTATCTCATTGGAGGCCTCCAGTAACGGCGTCATTGACATTCAGGGAAGTTGTCGTCTCGTCTCAGTGGACGAGGAGCGGGAAAAAAAAACAAAAAAATATAACAATACAATACACAGCAAAACACACACATTAGCCTGTTAAAAATGACAACGCCGGCGTGTCAGAGAAGGGAACTCTGGGTAATAATTTCTCACCTCGCCGTTCAGATACAGAAGGTCAAAGGCGTAGACGCAGACTTGAACTTTGATCTCTGTGGCGTCCACATCCTGCAGGGGAACAAGAAAAGAAATGGAAATTGTTTTGGAAATTTTTTTAAAAACAAATTTCAAATAAATTTAAATAATAAAAAAATATATATATATACATATATATATACACATATACATACATATATATGTATATACATATATACATGTATATATACATATATGTATGTATATATGTATATATACATATACGTATATATACATATATATACATACATACACACATATACATATATATACATACATACATATACATATATATACATACATATATATACATATATACATGTATATATGTACATATGTATGTACATATGTATGTATACACATATATATACATATATACACATATATATACATATACACATATATATACATATACATACATACACATATATATACATATATATACATACATACATATATACATATATATACATACATACATAAATACATATATATACATACATACATATACACATACATATATATACATACATATATATATTTTAAAGTTTTGTGACAAAGATTCCAAACGTCTTCATCTCCACCGCGGTTCTAAGTCACAGAGAAACTCTTTGATCTCCACAGTCGACCAGACGTTTCTCACACCTGCGTCGTCTCGTCCTGATCTGACGACGTGTCACTTCCTGTTTTGTTTCACAAAACATTCGCCACTTTTTCTCTCCCTCATCGCTGCTGCTCTCACCTCACCCCGTTTTTTTATTTTTACCTGCTTTTGTTCCCGTCTGTCTCCACAGGAACAAACAAAGCAGGTTATTTTTCCAATGAGTTCAAAGGTCAAAGAGCAGAGAGACTCAAACGCATCGCCTTCATAAACGCGATAAAAACACCGTCACCAATAAGGAGTGAAGAAAAAAAACTGCAGAGCGTCATCAATGCTCATGGCATCAAAGAGCGCAAATGAAAGCGCTCTGATTGGTCGGATTTAAAGGAAAAGAAGCTCAAACTGAAGAAGTAAATAAAGACGATTTGAGGCGTTTTTTTTTTTTTTTTTTTTTAAAAAAAAGCTTCCACAAAAACCAAGGAATGAATCAAATTTCTTCCATCTCAATTGGATTTTATCAGTCGGGCATCAAACAGGACGCCTCGTCTCCGGGGCCTTCTTTGTTCACACCGTAACGTGAGACAAAAACAGGCGAAGAACAAACCGTAAGATTGACACTTTCAATTTGTCTGCAGCTGAAAATTTAATCGTCACCGGTTTCAATAACAGCTCATTTCTCCGGCGTGTGTGTGTGTGTGTGTTTCCACGTTCTCATTCTGCTTTAATTAGCCGCTAAAATCACAGAGCGCTGCAGCGGTTCTGAAGGCAGAGGTGAAATGATGTCATCAGGTAAACAACAACAAAGGTTAAAGGTTAGCTCTCCTCCCTCACCCCTCCCCTCCCCCCGCTCATTAATTAGGGTGTAATTAGTTCCTACATCAGTCGATAGTCAGCGCTGCTAACCATCGAGACAACTAACTAATCAGTTTCACTAAACCTCTTCTCAGATCACATTTTACTGTTTTTTTTTTTTTTTTTCTGCGACTTATATTCCAGGGCGACAGCAACATCCTTAGATATTCTCCATATCATCGATGGCCACAAGAGGGCCCTGTCTACACATGTGACAAGTAAAAGCTTCTTCTGCACCACCGAAAAGTCACGACTGAAACACGTCCAGAAAACGTTCGTCCATAAAACATTTGTCCATAAAGAACTAAAGAACAAAAAGACAAAAGTCAAACCGTGGAACTTAAAGTTCCTCCAGAATCGGTACCAGGAACTGATGCTGCTGAGCTTAAACACAGTTATTAACTCACAATGTCTCAAAAACAGTTTTAACAACCGTCGATTCTTCATCTTCATTTCTTTGTACATGTGTTTTTTTTCCCCCAGACATAATTTTGTGCCATTTCTTGCCCAGAAAGAACAACATTAAAAACACGAGGAAACGAACTCTTCGCAACAGTTTCCAAGGAAACAAATCAGCAGAAAGACTTTCATCACTTTCTCATCACAGCTGCGTTTTTCAATTTTGCACTTTTTTTTTTATTTCTTCCTCATTTCCTCCGTTGTCACCGTGTCGGCACAAAGACAGAAACACTTTTAGCCCAGTGTCAGCAGTGTGGCAGAAAAAGGCCCTCAGTCTGATCAAAAAAAAAAAAAAAAGACAATCTGACACGGCTGACATTTTCCATCTCAAACCTTCACTCCTACAGCCTTTGACTTTTCCCTCTCCGACTTGTCAATCTGCCTATGGCTCTGTCAGAGGAGGAGACAGGAGCAGGTACTTTTTTTTTTTTTACTCCCCATCTCATTACATTTGGCTCCACGTCACCCCCTACCTTTCTCTTCCTGGTGGTGAGAACCTGGAACGGCTGGATCTGCTTCTTCTCTCGGTCCCAGGCGACAGCTTCGGTGTCGAGGACGCAGGACACGACCGAGTCCGTCTTCACCTGTGGGACAAAGGACAGGGGTGAGAATCAGAGGAACGGAGAGAGAAAAAAAAAAAAAAAAAAAAAATCACGGAAATGTCAGACCTCTGAGGGTCTTCCGGTCCACAGGTGGTGCTAAAATCAACGACCGTCTTCTGCTGAAGTCGGCTTCATTTTGGTCAAGTTGGTGTTCGACACCAACAATCTTAGTAATTCAAGGAGGCAGGAGGTGAGGGAAGAGTAGACGGGGGTGAGGAGGAGGAGGGGGGGCCGGTTTTTGCTAGCTTCTCCGCTAACAGCTAGCCTCCCCGTCTTTT